AGCTTGAAAAGGCAACATTTTGTGAATTGTTTAAGAAATTGGAGTTTATGAATAAAAGTAGCCAAGTGGGTTAATTGCAACCATGAATACTGCAGTTTATGTAGGGTTTGAAAGATAAATATCTAATATTTGCAGGTTAATTTATCAAAAAAAATTAAAATGTTTGCCCATTTTTTTCTTATTCTTTATGGGAACATTTACATGCCACCCACTAAATTCCTCTGTATTTACGTATCTACCACCTAAACTTTAATTATTACATGCATGCCACTTTATCTATACATGTTAATATAAAAAGTAATGTTTAGGTGTTAGATATGTAAATAAATAGGAATTGGGTGGTATTTATGAATCTTATATTTGTCAAGGATTCACCAAGCCATTAGGGGTGATTTATTGCTGAAGTATACCCTATCAAATTTGTAAATAAAAAGATTGCGGTGTGTGTGAATGTTATCTAACGTATGAATGTCGAAAATTGTATCAATTCGACCGGAAATCGACTTGAGAAATATGGGTTCGGGTTGACAAAAATAGTTTTCGTGTCAGGCTGACCCGAAATTGACTCGAAATCGATCAGACGATACAAAATTGACTCGTGAGCTTGACTCGAATCAACCTGGATTTGACTCAAATAGCTATTATGTCATATGATAAATGTTTATACGCGTCAAATTTGGGTAAATGGGTTGAAGGTAGGTTGGGTTCGGGTTTAACTTTCTGACAGGGCTTTCGGTAAACAGGTTGAAGGCAGGTTGGGTTCGGGTTTAACTTTCTGACAGGGCTTTCGGTAAACAGGTTGAAGGCAGGTTGGGTTCGGGTTTAACTTTCTGGTGAATATGAAAGATGCACTGATGCAAGGATCATGCATGAATAAAGTAGATCTAATTGAAGAAACTATATTTGATGAATATTCATTTATAAGACTTAGTTACATGCCATTTTAGTGGCTTAAGAATGCATATTAGCATTGAAGCATTGGGGCATTTAAGTTTGATTAACTCTCATTTATGAAAATTTCAAATTGATTTAAATTATTTTGGATTTATTGTTATAAATTTAATTATTTTTTAAATTAAATTTAAAATATTACATAAATGGTATCAAAAAAATTATGAAATAAATTTAGTAATTGTGATTATTTATATAATTTTAAAATATAAAAATAATTTGAAATTCAAATTAATTTTAAATTTTATGAAAATTATTAGAAATGCTTGGAATGGAACCTTGATGTCCCCATAAAATTTTGAAGTTTGATGGATGAAATTTGATTTTTCAATAATTTTATATTATTTTATATTTTGAAAAAAAAATATTCCCAAAATAGCTTAAATAAAAATGAAATGAACAATGATGACTTGAAATCAAATTTCTTATATGGTGATTATGTTCTTAAATAAAGTTATTTTGTAAATTAGAATTCTATTATGAAATCATGCATTAAAGATATAATATCATTAAAGAGGGATATTATTCCACCAATTTACACAAAATATCAAGAAAAAAAAGTTGATTGATCAAATGTAAATTAGAATTCTATTATGAAATCATGCATTAAAGATATAATATCATTAAAGAAGGATATTATTCCACCAATTTACACAAGATATCAAAAAAAAAAGTTGATTGATCAAATATTTAAGAGTCTAAGGGTCTGTTTGGGGCAGCTGCAGCTTATTGAATAATCTGTTGATAAGCTGATTAAAAATAAATTGTTGATATCAAAGAAATGAATTTAAATAAATTGAAAATTAGTTTTTCTGCCTAGCTCTCACTTTGTGTCATGTATGTTCTTCTGCTACATTGTCTTCATCTTCCTTAAACTTTTAGCTCTGATACCACTTAAATTTAAACATTATATTATGCCCCTAATCTTAGTCCCACAAATCTTAAAAGACATTCCTAACAAATGAAATAAATGCTCTTATCTATGTGCTTTGACAAACATAGCTTACATTAGTGAAGCTTGGTTAACATAAAGCAATTGGTAAAAATGTTGTCAATGGATTGTATATTAAAAAATAAAATATTTATTAACTAATAGAAAATACAATTGATATACTATTGATATGAAAATCATAAAAATAATAGAATATGAGCTAGTGGAGCATAATAAACCCTTATGAACAATATACTAGCCTACATGATATAGTACAAGCCACATCATTAAATCTATAAATTTAATTATTTTTTAAATTAAATTTAAAATATTACATAAATGGTATCAAAAAAATTATGAAATAAATTTAGTAATTGTGATTATTTATATAATTTTAAAATATAAAAATAATTTGAAATTCAAATTAATTTTAAATTTTATGAAAATTATTAGAAATGCTTGGAATGGAACCTTGATGTCCCCATAAAATTTTGAAGTTTGATGGATGAAATTTGATTTTTCAATAATTTTATATTATTTTATATTTTGAAAAAAAAATATTCCCAAAATAGCTTAAATAAAAATGAAATGAACAATGATGACTTGAAATCAAATTTCTTATATGGTGATTATGTTCTTAAATAAAGTTATTTTGTAAATTAGAATTCTATTATGAAATCATGCATTAAAGATATAATATCATTAAAGAAGGATATTATTCCACCAATTTACACAAGATATCAAAAAAAAAAGTTGATTGATCAAATATTTAAGAGTCTGTTTGGGGCAACTGCAGCTTATTGAATAATCTGTTGATAAGCTGATTAAAAATAAATTGTTGATATCAAAGAAATGAATTTAAATAAATTGAAAATTAGTTTTTCTGCCTAGCTCTCACTTTGTGTCATGTATGTTCTTCTGCTACATTGTCTTCATCTTCCTTAAACTTTTAGCTCTGATACCACTTAAATTTAAACATTATATTATGCCCCTAATCTTAATCATTAAATATAGTCTTTTAGAGTTTATTTCATTGCATGATTGTTTTAAACCATTTTATTTCTCTTTAATGGTGATTATTTTGAATGGAATAACACTTATCCTTTTAATCCTTGGGAAATTGGAAAAATACATTTCAAATACATAATGAAAACAAAAAAACAAATATGAATTTAATAGCAATATGAATATGATTGTAAATATCTTATGAAAATTATATTAACTAGCCTAGACATGAGACATTAATAAATAGATTGATCTTATGCTTGTAATTGAATATCTTTGATTGAAGAAAATTTTATCGTTCATTTTCAATCATATGTAAGTTGGATGTGTGATTTTTTAACACAATTGAGCTTAATTGTAACAATCAAATTACATTTACACATAGATTTTAGATGGTTCAAGTTCTCATCACTTAATTCAAATTTATTTGATGACTACATAATCATTTGAATCCTAATTCTTGTATTTATTGTTTGGCATTTGATAAAATCACATTAATGGTGTATGTGAAGTGATATGTGATCTACAAATCATATGTTTCATTGCATGATGTGCAAACATTGTAAAATTTTAAATAAATTAAGAAGAAAAACTCTAATGCTAACTCAACTTACATCAATGTGGTTAAAAATCACATTTTTACAAACATGCAAATTCTTCTTAAACTGTCCAAAAGCAACCCATCACCTCTCACCATTTCATCCATAACTAACTCGTATTATGACTGAATTGGGTGATTTTAGTATCATTGTAAAGCTAACAACATGTCCTATGACTTTTATGTTGTTTATTTCGACCAATGCCGCCTACTACATGCTGCATGTTTTAAAAACAAAAGCAAAAATGCAAACAGTCCATCATCTCTCGCCATTTCAGCCATAACTACTGGTTTCTTGACGAAAGTAGATGATTTTGGTGTCATTAGAAAGCTAACAAGAACTCCTATGAATTTTTTGTTATCTATTTTACCCAATTCCTATTACATATGCTGCGGTTTTTAAAAACATAATACTTCTAATGCACAACAAGAAAATTTAATAAGAAAAAATATACTAAGTTCTAAAATTCCATGCTAACACATTTTCTAACATCATCAAGTACGCAAACCAAATTGAGTGGCTTTTCATTACAGAAGCAAATGTGGTTGTTGGTTTCTCACATATGATAATTGTATGAGATGTACCACATTAAGTAGTTCTTTGAAGTCACAATATGCCTCACACTTATTTGGTGCCCGCTTGAGGGATGTATTCTTCATTTTTCTCATAAACTCTCAGACCAACCAACCGACCAACCAATACTGAGGTTAAATATAAAACTATACGTTTGACCATCCCTTTTCCTAATCATAATTTTTAAATAATTGCTAATGACATTACCGTATCATAATTTGAATAAAAGTTTAAACCATTCAAATTGAACAAAATGTTTACGTCGTAACACTAAGCATTTTTTGACTCAACGGAGCATTTTGTAATTTGTTCGTCATGTGATGTCTGTTTATCTTCTTATTGTGACATCAAATTCTGAAGCCCTGTACCTCCAACACATCTCTTCATTCACAGCGACCACAAATTAAATAATGCATCAATCAAGAAAGAGAACACACAGAATTTGAAAAATTGCACAACTGACAAACGATATAAACTCCATTTGTAAACTCTCAACAGAGACCATAGAACAAAAGAAGCATGGCGACAGAAGAAATTGTTGAGATCTAAACGACTTTCTGCACAAACTCATGGATATCCATCATATACTAAAGCAGAAGCAGTTCTTTGTTGAAATCGTGAAATATAAATGCAGTTGTTATCCAAGAATTGTTGAGATCTAAACGACTTTCTGCACAAACTCTTGGATATCCATCATATAGTAAAGCAGAAGCAGTTCTTTGTTGAAATCATTAAATATAAATGCAGTTGATATCCAAAATCGCAAGGTAAACTTAAAACTCACAAAAAAACCCACAGATTTTTTTTGGGTATGATCCAAGTTACTTAAACATAAAAAAAAAGAGTTGGATGATCTTCCAAGAATATCAGTTAATAACTAATTAAAAAGAATTCGCGCATATTTCATCATAAATCTAGCATCTAAACCAAACTTTATTCTCATTGAACCAATAACCATAGGAACAATAATGTGTTCTCCTCAATGAATAAACATGAAAATAGGAGAAAACAGTGAAGAGCACTAAATAAATTTAAAAATTGGAACACAATTCATGTTACACAAATCAGCATACCTCAAGAATAATTGTGAGGAAACCGATTATGGCTGATGAATATTTACTTGTCCAGCAACATCTAAAGAAATAATCCATAATCTGTGAAGAATGAATATTTATTGGTCCAGTGAGATTTCGAGGAAGAAGGCGATATCGCTGCAAAACTTTTTTTTTTAAGAACATGAATCGAACGAAGCGAAAACCAAAGCGAAGCTTGAGGTCACGACTATGTTCATCCAAAATTGCAGCTTTCTTAACCAGCAAGGACATAATTTTCCAAATAATAAACTGCAAGATCCCTGAAGTCATTACCAACATTCTTAAACAAAACACTGCAGGTGCAGGAATCAAGAAGAACACCTTTCTCAAGCATCTCCTCAAACAACCTCTGCACTTCATCCCAATAACCAAAATCACAACTTTAATTTATCAACAAAGTGTAAATATACTTATTGAGGGAAAGCTCCTTCTCCTGCATTTCATAAAAACACTTATAAGAAAGCTTAACATTTCCAGTTCTACACAAGCCATTTATAAGAGCATTGTAAGATACTTCATTTGGTCGTACATTTTCCTGCAACATCTTAAGATATAACTGATAAACTGTCCCAATATTTCCTTTCCTTGAATAAGCATGAATAAGTACTGTATAAGTTACTAAAGAAGGAGAAACATTATTGCACAACATTCTATCAAAAACTCATTTTGCTTCGTCTAGACGGCCTTTATGGCAAAGGGTGTGAATTATGCACGTACACGCAATCAGGAACTACTCTATCTTTAATCATCTTCCTCCACAACCAATACACTTCATCCTAATCTGATATCCATCTGATTATCATACCGAGAATTTTCTTGGCGACTTAAATCTTTTATTTTAAACTCTCTTGATAAGTACTCATCCAAGTCTCTAATATTCTCTATATCTGACCATACAATCACATACAAGAGAATAATAATATAGTAATCATCAAAATATTTAATGAAGCAACATTGATCGGATTGACAATTTGTATACCCACTGTGTAACAAAAATCTGCCAAATATCCTATACCAGTCTTGATGTCCGCTTCAAATCCTAAAGGCTCCTCTTAAAAGTACAAATCACATCTTCCTTTCCTAGAACTTCATATCCCTGTGGTTGCACCATATATAATTCTTCCTCCAAGTCACCATGTAAGAAGGTTGTTTTCAAATACACGACTCTGATAGTTATCATCTTCACTACCAAAGAAATATACAAAATGGTCCACTCCTTTTTGTTGAAATCCCTTCACAGCAAGCTCGCCTTAGTAGACTTGCTACCATCTAATTCTTCTTTCAATATGTAAATGCATTTATTAAGCAATTTCTTTTTATCATAGGTAGTATTGCAAATTCTCATGTCTGATTTGACATTAATGACTGTATCTCATTATCCATTGCAAACTCACTCATTTGAGTCATCTAATTGAATGGCCTCATCATAGCTCTTGGGTTCCCCCATTATCAACTAATAATATATGGTACAATGAAAGAGAATATCCCTTTCTATGTCATGAGATGTTGCTCAACCTCTTGGCTTCAGTAGCAAGTGTATAAGGAACTTCATGTGCTTCATTAAATTGAGCACATTTTCTTTCTCTTTCTTTGTGATCCCTAGTGTTTTCTAGCCCAACATATTTTAAGATGTCTTCAGAAATAACTGGCAGACGGTCATGTATTCTATTTCTATCATTGTATATCCACTAATTAGAGAACATTCTTGATAAAGGTATCATTGTATATCCACTAATTAGAGAACATCCTTGATAAAGGAAGCTGTTTCCACTCTATGTTTAAGGGCACTAGATTATGCAATGGCATCCATATGTCTCTTGTTATGCTTCAAGTCAAGAAATCTTAATGAGAAACTGTTAGGTATATATATAATTTACAAATTGCACAATAGGAAGCGTGCCTCAGCATAATTGTGAAAAAAGTATATATCATGAGAACCAGGCATCATTAGGCCTATCGAGATATACACCACAATGGAGCCGAGGTGCTTTTCTGCGCAATTTACAAAAGGCACAAGCCTCAAACACTAATATTTAGGTAATTTAAAATTTTGAATTATAAATTAAATTACAAAATAATTCTCATTTTTCTATTTCTTTAAACCTAAACCTAAAACAAACAATTGAGAATCACACACACCTTCTCAAATCCCAATCAAACTCTCCCCCGACATTGCTCGCATTTGCAGCCGCACGCCACTGTTGTAGTGTCATAAATGATAGAAGAGTAAAATGGTTGAGATCGAAGATGAAAAGAAAGATGGGAGAATATTGATGAAAATGAAAATGGAGGGCAAAAAATAATTCACTATAATGATAATTCTAATGAAGACTCGGTTATATAGAAGAATGGAAGAGATTTTTGTATTCATAAAATTCTAATTCTATTAATTTATGGCCAATTTGGAGTAGTTTCTACTGTTTGAAAAAGCTACGTAGAGGAAGTTGTTGCGAGGAAGTTATGTGTTTGTTTATTTAGTTCATTTGTGCAGCAGTTATGTTGCATATGTTAATAACAAGAAGACGGCTACTGTGAAAAAGTTGTGTATGTTTATTTAGTTCATTTATGTAGCAACTGTTCATGAAAAGAAGACATTTTTGTTCCTGTATTGAGTTCAAATATTACATTTAGAAGTTAAATCTCACTTAATAGTGAGTAGCACAACGATCAAAATCAAAAATATAAGTATAAAGCAACAATTAATATTATCAAAATATTAATTTTGAAACCCAAAAATCAATCATGTGAGATAACTTTTTCTCCAAAAATACTCTCCACACGAGTCACTATATACTTTAGAATCATCAAATTAATTTGCCTACCTAAAGAAGTAATAGTCCTCTGTCAATCTATTCCTTGAAAACTTGTTAAATTTTCTCTTCATAGCTATTTTCTCTTCGTGATGTAAATAAAGAACATTGCAATCTACAAATACAGTACAAGACATTAGAAGCACTAGAAGTCCTTGAGCTCATGCTTATTGAAATTTGAAAACTACAAACATAAAATTAGCTTGCCTTAATAGTACAATGATAAAATAAATGAAAAAATAACTAATAAGAATAATAAAACAGCTTTTAAACAATGACAAATGGGTGAAAATTTTTAGGACGGAGAGCCCCAAACCAATACAGATGGAAATGCAAAATCAAGCCATGAAAAATCTCACAACCGAAAGCCACATGCATATCATATCATAAAATTACCTAAACCAACCCAAGATCAATCAGAGTAGAGAGGAGATTTAGAAGATCAACTATACCTCAATATTGATAAAGGTCGAGAGATAAGAAAAGCGATGATCAAAGGCACCAAGGTGGAAATGAGGGCACGGAGAGAAGAGCTTGAGTTCAGGCAGAGAGCTTCACTCAATAAAGCACAGCGCAATGAGGGCAGCGAGGGAGAGGAGAGCTAATGTAAGTAATATTCCTTCGAGCAGGTGTTAACCAGTTGTGTAATATACAGTGCAAAACGTGTCGCGTTTAGCAAGACACTGCAAAAATGATTTATTTAAACAATGGAATGGCAATGGCGAGTTGCGCCACTGTCTTAAACAGCTAATTAGACTGCTTATGTTGAATTGAGAGTTGCAGAGATTCATGAATATGAACTTTCCTTGATATTATGATCTTATTTTGATATTTACTTTCATAGTAATATGCTACTTATTATTTTATATTTTTTTATAAATTGAATGATTTCATTCAGAGCCTTATGTCGCAAGGCTTATACCTCGCCTCATGGATAATAAATGCTTCAATACCCGATTGCGCAGATTCAAACATTAGGTTTGGCACTAGAAATAGTGCTAACGTAAGATATATATAAGTACAAAGTTGTGTACTAGCTATATATTTTATTTTATTTTTTATAAGCAACGAGTACAACGTAAACATTGTGTACTTATTACTTACTACAAAAATTGAAGTACACAGCCATATACTCTGATAATCTCAAATTTTCCCCTAAATCATTATTGTTGTGCATTCAAATGTACATAAGCACACAACTTATGCACACCAATATAGTCCAATATATGGGCATGTGGCTCTATGTGAGGTGTTTGAACCTAATAATTCATCCTATTAATAGCTAGTTCAGCAAGCCTTGTGTTGTGATTATAGGCATAAGGCTTGGGAGCTTACTATGACTTTGGCTATGAGTTAGTGAGCTTTCATTGTGATTGTTGAGTGATTTTTAAAAGGTGTGGGTTAGCTCATTTCAGTCCAATTTCAATTACCCTATGATTCACAAGTATCACTATATCTATGTCTTTAAAATAAGCAATTCCTATAGTATCATTTCTAGTTTTATCATACATACATCTAAACATTGACATTAACATCACACTTTCCTTGATTATCATTACCTTCTTTATTGGTCAATACTAAAATTATTAATCAATATAGTTGTGAAATTTTATAAATCTATTTTTTAAAAGGTTGTTTGGTTGTCTGTAAAAGATATGCAGAGAAAAATATAATGTGGTATCTTATAATTTCGTTGTATTATGCTTCCATTAAACCAGTTATTTGTCTGTAAAGTAAATACAAGAAATTCTTTGTTTTGTTTGGCTATGTCATTATGTTCATGAAAAGTAAAAAGTAAAAGTAGTGTATTCAAAGTACTTCAATTTTTTTAATTGCATATAAAATAAATATAGATGAATTATTTTTAATGTTTATTTAAAAACTTAAAATAAAACGCCTGTGAATTAATATTTCATATTATTATTATTATTACAATTATTTATAAATTAATATAATAACATTAAAGCTAATGCTTAAAAGACCTGAATTTTGTGTAATGACAATTGTATTTTTTTATTCTTTATTTTCATTAATTGTCTATAATCATAATCCAATAAAAAAAATTATTAATCATCTCTAGTAACAATGTAATTTCCTTATGAATTTTACGATAAAAGTTCCAATAGAGTCTGAAAATTTTATATGAAAATAATCTATGAGAGCACATTTGAAGATCCTGGTTTGATTGATGAAAGAAAAAACTTACAACATAGGCAATCTAATACACATGAAAGACAACAAACATTAGCAGTTTCAACATATATATATTTGATACCTAAAAAAGCGTGAATAAACTCCTAAATCACCTTTTCAACATAAATATATTCGATACCTAGAAAAGCCTGAATAAGCCCTAAATCACATTTGCTCGCATTTTCGACCACATCTTTTGTGTTTCTTGATGGAATTGGTTGGCGTTGAAAGTTGAAAAATTTGTCTATGACTTTCATATTATTTTTTTATCCAATTTCTACTATAAAAGCTATCATTTTTTAAAACATATGTAAAATTTTAAATTGTACAACAATAGTCCACTACCTCTTGCTATTTCAGTCATAAATTTCTCGTTTCTTGATGAAATTGGGTGATTTTAGTGTCATTGGAAAGCAAAAAAAATTTTCTACAATTTTTTGTTATTCATTTTACCCAATTCCAACAATATATACTACAGTTTATACAAAAATGCATAATTTTAAACTGCCTGAAAGCAGCCCACCGCCTTTCGCTATTTCAAACATAACTACCTCATTTCTTGACGGAATTGGGTGATTTTAGTTTCTTTGGAAAGCAAAATAAATGTCTTACGACTTGTAATATTTATTTCATCTAGTGCCTACTATATGCTACATGTTTTAGATTCATATGAAAAGGTGTATAGTCCTAAAACAATCCATTATCTCTCCCTATTTCAGCCATAACCACCTGGTTTCTTGAAGAAACTAGTAGATTTTAGTGTCGTTAGAAAGCTAAAATAAAAAAATTCCTACGAATTTTATGTTATCAATTTTACCTAATTCCTCCTACACGCTATAGATTTTAAAAACATATAGCTCTCATACACAACAAGAAAATTTAATAAGAAAAAAAATACTAAGTTTTAAAATTCCGTACTTATTAAATTTCTCAAGTTATCAAGTACACAATAGAACCAAATTGAGTGGCTTTTCAATACAGAAGAAGATATGGTTGTTGTTATCTGACATATGATAATTGCGTTGATATACCACATTAATTAGTTCTTTGAATTCAGGATATACCTCTAGTTTATTTGGTGCCACTTGACGGCTATATGCTTCATTTTTCTCATAAACTCTCAGACCAACCCACCAATACCAAGGTTAAATATAAAACTATACAACAATCTCGAGCTTAAATATAAAACTACATTGTAGACCGCTTTTCTTCTTAATAAAAATTTTTGAATAAACACTAATGACATTTTCATATCATAATTTGAACAAAAGTTTAAACCAACCAAAATGAACAAAACATTTACATCGTAAACTAGGAGTCTTTGGCTCGATGGAGCATTTGTAATTTGTTTGTCATGTGATATTTATTTATCTTCTTATTGTAGCATCAAATTCTCAAGCTAGTTTCATTCAAAATCTAAGAATTCCACTCTTTCATATCACAATTCGAACAAAAGTTTAAAACAGCCAGATTGAACAAAACATTCACACCGTAAACTAAGCATCTTTAACTCTAAGGAGCATTTGTAATCCATTTGTCGCGTGATATGTATGTATCTTCTTAATGTGGCATCAAATTCTCAAGCCCATTTCATTAAAAATCTCAGAATTCAACTCTTTCTATATGCTCGTGCTCCATCATACTTGTCATATTTTTTAACATCAATTTATTGTTCCTAACTTATCATTGAATGCAATTCATTTATATATGATTCCATACGACAAACACAACTTGAAGTCATTTGGGTTTGCATTAACTCAAATAGAATTTAGCAATTCCTATAAATCCAGCATTTTAAAGTCGTGAGAGGATTAAAAAATAAAAAAACACTTGGCATGCAACAATCTAGCTACATCCTGATATGCTTGCCTAGTTTCAAGGTTTAAATTTTTTTTGAGAAATAAATCCATAAGTCCATTAAATCTTGTGATATATGAATTTAATAAATCTTTCATTCATTTACATGCACTAATTTGGTCTTAGAAGCGGGATTTTGTAAAGTACCATCAAATAAAAATGTGTACAATGACAGATCTGTATTCTCCCATATCACAAGTCCATGGGAAACCAATTACCATTCTTTCTCTCAGTTACTCCAAAACAACTCTTAATTTACAGCAAGGACAAATTAAATAATGTACCAACGAAAATGAGCTGACCAATCAAGAAAGAGAACACACAGAATTTGAAAGATTTCAAAAATTGCACAACTGTAAAAAAGATAAAAACTCCATTTGTACACTCTCAACAGAGAACATAGAAAAAAAGTGGAGCTTTCGAGAATTCCAAACTTGCACCAGTTTTAACTAAAAAGAAGCATAGTGTGGGAAGAAATTGCAGTGATCTAAATGATTTTCTCTAAAAACTCACGGATCTCAATCATATACTCAAGTAGAAGCAGTTCTTTGTTGAAATCATGAAAGATAAATGTAGTCGATATCCAAGATCGCGAGGTAAACTTAAAACACAAAAAAAAAACCCACAGAAGCTATATCATGTACTCGAACAAATAGAAGGAATTTCAAAAAATGAAGAAATCAATGCTTGCTTGCCTCTCAGAGCGCAGATCAGATACTTGTTGACGGTCGTTGTTCTCATCGCCCTCTTCCTCTCACTTCCAAGAAGTGGATCTCAAAGTCAACAGGAGAGAGACACCCCGCATAAGGCAGCCGTGACCGAACAAAAAGAATCCTCGAGCGTGTGAGGTAACTAACAAAAGAGCAATCTTGTAGGAAATTATACCTGAGGGATCGAAGGTGAGGATTTGCTGGGTGAAGTGGTTTTACATCTGATTACGAGTGGGGCTTTAATGCCGGGTTTTTTTTTTTTTTTTTTTTTTTTTTTTAACCTATTTTCAGTATTTATAATTCTCAAGTAGTTTTATTTTACTTTGGGACTAGTGATTACCAAAAAATAAAATAAAATAAAAGTCTTGTGTTTAATTTACTTTACACCTATTTTACATCAAATCAAACAGGCCCCAAACCTCCATGACATTCCCTAGTATAGTAACCTTATAGAATTTCTCCAATCAACCAATCAGCTTTGATTTAGAATATATGTGCGCATGCATCATATGTTTTGCATGATCCACGTTACTTAAACATAACAAAATTGAATGGTATAATCTTCCAAGAGTATTTATTAATAACTAATTGAAAATAATTCATGCATATTTCATCACAAATCCAGAATGTAAACTGAACTTTATTCTCATTGAATCAATAACCATAGGAACAATAATGTGCCCTCCTCAATGAATAAACATAAAAATAAGAAAAACAAAGTGAAGAACGCTAAATAAATTTAAAAATTGGAATACAATTCATGTTACACAAATCAGCATACCTCGAGAATAATTATGAGGAAACCGATTATGGCTGATGAATATTTACTTGTCCTGCAACATCTGAAGAAAGAATTCATAATCTGTGACGAATGAAAATTTATTTGTCCTGCAACATTTCGAGGAAGAAGGCCATATCGTTGCAAATCGTTTTTTCTAAGAACAAGAATCGAACGTAGCGAAAGCCAAAGTGAAGCTTGAGGTCATGACTACGCCCATCCAAAATTGCAGCTTTCTTAACCGGCAAGGACATAATTTTCCAAATAATAAACTGCAAGATCCCTGAACTCATCACCCACATTCTTAAGCAAAACACTGTACGTGCAGGAATCAGGAAGAACACCTTTCTCAAGCATCTCCCCAAACAACCTCTGCACTTCATCCCAATAACCAAAATCACAACTCTGATTTATCAACAAAGTGTAAGTATACTTATTGGGGGAAAGCCCCCTTTCTTGCATTTCATAAAAACATCTATAAGCAAGCTTAACATTGCCAGTTCTACACAAGCCATTTATAAGAGCATTGTAAGTTATTACATTTGGCTGCACATTATCCTGTAACATCTGAAGAAAGAATCCATAAGCTGTCCCAATATTTCCTTTCCTTGCATAAGCATGAATAAGTACTGTATAAGTTACTAAAGAAGGCGAAACATTATTGCACAACATTCTATCAAAAACTCTTTTTGCTTCGTCTAGATGGCCTTTACGGCAAAGGGCGTGAATTATGCATGTATATGTCACACAATCAGGAACTACTCCCTCATTAATCATCTTCCTCCACACCCGATAAGCTTCATCCCAATCTCCAGTCCGAAAAATCCCGTCAATCAAAATGTTATACGTGATTATATCAGGCACAACACCGCGAGCTACCATCTCCTCCCTCAATTGGAAAGCTCTGTACATAGCCCCGTGCTTCGATTCGCAAGCTAATCTCGTATCATAAGCAAAGCAATCTGGCTGAAGTCCCCTATGAAGCATCTCATCAAAATATCCTTTAGCCATGGCATGATATCCCATCTTGCAAGAGCCATTCACAAGGATTGTATAAGTACATATATCAGGGTGGCAACCACATTCTATCATATAGTCTTTAAACTTCAAAGCCTTCTCAAGAGCGCCCACCCTGCAATGACCGTCTATAAGTATATTGAATGTTCGAACCGTTGGAACAATTTGGGCTCTTCTTAGATCCTCAAACAAAGAAAGAGCCTCCATTATGTTTCCCAAACGGCAATAACCATAGATCAAAGAGTTGTATGAGACTACATCCATTGTTAGACCCTTTGATTCCATCTGTGTAAACTTCTTTCGAGCTTCTTCTACCTTTCCCATCTTACAAAGCCAGTAAATTATGGTGTTATAGGTTGTCACAGATGGAAGGATGCCTTTCCCCACCATATTAGTCTCAAAAAGCAAAGCTTGGTCAGCAAATCCTTTGCTAAACAATGCATTAATCAGTGGATTATAGGAGAAAGAAGAAGCCTTACCTGAACTCTGCATTTTCGCAAGCAACTTCTCCGCTTTCTCCAATTCGCCTTTCTTTGACAATCCATTGATCACAACGTTGTAAGTAACATCATTAGGCAAGCAGCGATTGAAATTTTTGAACTCCATATCAAGAAGAAGTATATAAGCCTCTTCAGCCTGTCCCTCCTTGCAGTAACAATCAAGCATTGTGTTGAAGGTAACAATGGTGGGCTGCACCCCTGCCCTAACCATGTCCTGATAGACTACCCTGACTTCAGACCACCGGTTGCCATCCCGCAAAACCCTAAGAACCCGATTGCAGTTCTTAACCTCAGGTAAGAAACCATTTTCCATCATCTTCCGAAAGGTTGATAAGGCGCGTTCGACCATCGAACACTTAGTGTACATCCATAAAAGCAGATTGAGAAGCTTAATAGTAACGTCCGAATTCACATACTTGCCGATCAACAGGTCAACGATTCCATGTAAACCGAAGCTCAGAGCCCTCTCAGCAACCGAGTAAGCCGCCTTCATGAGCCCGGCGTCGGCGAGGATCTCGAGCACGGCGCAGAAAGGGAGCTCCGATCGGTGGAAGCCGGGCTGGCGCTCGGCCCAGCGGAAGAACCGCAGAGCGACCCGAGGCTGGTTGCCGATGGAACGAATGATGCAGAGGAAAAGATGTCGGTCGGAGATTAGGGGCTTGAGGAGGGCCGGGGTGCGGAAGCCGGAGGTGAAGGCGTGGGGGTTGTATTTGAGAATTCCCAGAATGAGGGAATCGAATTGCGGCTTCTCGGTGAGGAGCTTGGAGAAGGGCTTGTGAGGGAGAAGGAGAAGAGGGCAAGAGAAAGAAGAGCGCGCCTTTGGGAAGGAGAAGGAGACGAAGTTTGATGCAAGAGCTTTGGAAGAGC